ATCAGCTTTTCCTGTGCAGTTCAGTCCCATATCTTCACCTACAAGAGGCATAATTTCACACATCGAATATACTATTACTTGATCAGTAAGGAGGGGTTGATCTCTTTGTACACTTGCAGTGAAGAGGATGCTGAAGATCCTTTTCTGCTTTCCAAGCTCCAGAGTGCACAGGCTTTGCAGCTGCTTTACCACATGTCCCTGTGGCATATATCAGCCCTTCTGTACGGGACCTCACTGTCCACTGAGCCCTGTCAACCTCACCACAAAGTCAGTAACGACACACTGGAACCTTCTGCTTGATCTAGTCACTCCAGCAGCAAGTGCTAGGTCAAACAGTAGCTGTAGCATTGGTTACCAAGCACTGGAACAGGCTGCCCTGGGAAGTGGTGGAGTCACCATCCCTGGAGATCTGTAAAAGACACGTAGATGTGGCACTTAGGGACATGGCTTAGTGGTGGCCTTGGCAATGTTAGCTTTATGGTTGGACTTGATGTTCTTGAAAGTCTTTTCTAACTTAAATAATTCTATTTCACTGTTCCTTGAGAGATATTTGTTATTTAGCTTAAATAAGTAGGTTTAAATAGTTTGAGTCACTTAGAGTTACAGTATAATGTACTGTTTGCTCAGCTTTACTTGCTTAGAATAAGCAGCTAAATCTACTGAAGCCTTAGGCCCTAAGCTGTGACTTTCACCCAGACATGCTTTTGGCTGGAATAGAGTTAGTTTTCATAGTAATTTTCCTATAAGCTACTGAGGTGCTCTTGTTTGTCTTCAGTGGGAGAAGAACGTTGTTAACACACTGATGTTTCAGTTGTTGCTAAATTGTGTTTATCCTAGGTCTAAGACTTCAGTGTCCCATGCTCTGGTGATAAACTAGTGCACAAGAAGCACAAACAAGAATCTAAGAAAGCTACAGCCATCAGCAGAAGCTGCATCTCAACATGGTAAGAACAGATAACAGCCTGCCTGTGTGAAGACACAGAAAGAATCCAAGAAGGGGTTAGGAGATCCCAGACCAAAAAATCACTGTTGAACTAAAAGATATGTGAGGGATGGGTGTATAAGCGTATAATTGCCCAGGGATTTCTTTCTTGAATCATGGAATAGCTTGGGTTGGAAGGGACCTTCTAGTCCAACCCCCCTGCAGTGAGCAGGGACATCTGGAATTAAATGGAAAGCTTGAGCAGCAGCCTCTCCCCTGACACTGCTGAACCGGATTCGATTCCAGCCACAGAGCATGCAGGAAGGCATCTTGCTATCCAACTTCACTCTTACAAATAGGAATTACTCCCACTGGGGACTTGTTCTGGCTTCTGACGGTCCTGCAGATGTTATGCAAACCAGCACAAAGTCCATCTGCCTTAACAGGTTGGCTAAGGTCAAGCTTCCATCTTAGCCCCATAACCCTTGCACAAACATGGACATATTGACATGATAAACAGCAATACTGATCTCTTGGCTTCCAGCACCGGTGGCACCACAGGGACTGCTCCTATAAGGAATGTCTACCTTGGCAGGGCTGACAAGCCCTCAGTGCCACGTGCATGTTTATAGTTGTGCCAGGACATTGACTTCTTCCTGGTAGGGCCATGCTCCTTGAATGTCCGAAATGAATGGAATTTCCCCATAGCTGACACAGAGCTGCAGTAATCCTCCCTGGTTTGGTAGATTCACCATAAAGGAAGGTTATTAGTTATCATGAAAGCTTTGAAATAGCTGACTCTTTTGAAGCCATCTGCTTACATTTTACCTTTTCCCTGACTGCACCTGAAGCAAACAGAAGTGTTTCACTTGCTGGTTCCTGGAAACACCCATCTCTCTGCATGTGGGGACGGGCTGACCAACTGTGCAACGACAGCCTGATTTACAGACCTGTGCAAACCTGGAGTAACTTTGAGGGTAGGGTAAAGGACAGGACCAGCAAACCCAGGAATTGCCATGAGCTACCAGATCTCTACATCCCTTATGCTGGTTTCTCTCTTCTTGCTTTTCAAAACTCCTAGATTCTGCATTAAGCATGTATTAACATCTAAGTATCTAAAAGCACCTCACTGTGCACAATACTAACCTCCAGAGATATGAAACACCCCTTTTCTCTTCCAAATGCAAACTCCTTTGCAGTCCAGGTCAAGAAGCCTCATCCTGGACCTGCAGACCCTTATCCTCCCAGCTATGAATACACTCACAAATGCTCAGAGCCCCACATACAGGTAGAACAAATATATCAGGTACACACACACCTTATCAGTCCTACTAGAGCTGAAGTGGTGGGCCCCAAATATCCATCTCATGGTGGAAACTAATCATCTCCCAGTTTAATGGATAGGAGAATTGAAGCTCCAAGACAGGCAGCTGAACTGGCACCCACCAGAATAATTTACACTAGAACTGGTGCAGGAAACAGCCACAGGAAGATCTCTGGTTCCTTTTGCTCTAACTGCCAGGCTATTTGTGTTTTGGTGCCAAGCCAAAATGCCTCATATCCTGCCAATTTGGTTACTGACAACACTAACAAGCAGCAGAAGCTGCTCATGAAGATGCTGGTGGCACAATGGATATACAATCCAGCTGTAAGTACATTTGTCCTGGTGCACCTATAGTACTACTGCAAACCATCATTTCTCAAGTTGGCCAAGCCTCTCTGCATGAATTATCACAGGGATGCCTGAGGAGCACTGTCCTACACAGCACAGCCTTGCCTGGCCCTACAGTTAGCAGTTACTAGAGCATCTCCAGGGCAAACAGGCCCTCTGCTCTCATTTGCCCTTTCCCTTATCAGCTCCAAAAAGAGGTCAAGGTCACACACACAGGCTGTTATGCTTACAGAGCCTGAGAACGCAAGGGGGATTGCACAAAGGCTGGTTTATGGGCACAGAACTCCAGACGTGATGTAAAATCACCTTTAGACTTTATGGCAGAGAAAGGGATATAGGAAGAAGAGAGGAAGAGAAGCAAATTCTTCTCAAAAGGTTTTGCTTGTTGTGTTTCAAGCAAGTTAAACACATTACAATGTTGTTTGAAGCTCTTTGAAGCTCTTTTTTGGCTCAGGACAGGCTGGCAGGCCCTACACTGTGAGGGAAACAGGCACAAGGAGGAATGCTGCTCGTACAGCAGCACATACAAGAGGACCCAAAGGCCCTCTTCAATGGACATGAGGAGGGTCTGGCAACTGGACCATGGTTTATTTCCTAGAGGTAAAACAGCAGGGAGGCCCTGGTGGAAGAGGTGGGCAGTAGGGATATGTGACAGGGTGATGTCTGCTTAGACCATAGAAGCTTAGGAGCCAACCTCATGGTTCAGCTCCCAGCCACAGGAAAGTTTCCTAACAGCAATCCCGACTGACTCCAGTGAGGACACTACACCTAAAGACTCAGAGAGGAAAACATTCACAATCCCTTACCTGGCCATTGCTTTTTAATGTTCCTCTGGCTTATCCAAGAAGCCCTTAAAGAAATCCAAATCCTTTCCACATCACAGACACATTGTCCAGATACCTAAGGAAAACAGCGCCCATCTAAGATCAGTTTCGTTTGCCAGCAGTGGAGGCAGGCTGCAGAAACACACGTATTAAGAGGCTGCAGAAGACAGGTCAGCGGGTCTGATGCCTCTACAGAAGGAGCAGAAGCGAAGCAGGACCACGGAGCTGCTCCATTCTTGCAGGGTGGATAGGGAGGGAAGACAGTTCCTGCCTGGTCTGCCTGCGCCCTCTTGTGGCTGCCTGGCCACGCTGCACAGGGTAGGACCAAACCAGAGAGGCTGCACCCCGTAAAGGATCAGAGAATCCCAGACGGGTTTGTGGTGAAAGGGAGCTTAAAGCTTACCCAGCTCCAACCCCTGTCACGGGCAGGGACACCTTCTACTGGAGCAGGTTGCTTCAAGCCCCTGTGTCCAACCTGGCCTTGAACACTGCCAGGGATGGGGCAGCCACAGCTTCTCTGGGCACCCTGTACCAGCGCACCAGCACTCTCAAATGAATCATTTAAACACTGTAAACATCTATGCTACCGTCAGTGAATGATGTTTTTCTAGCAACAGCTATTTGAAGCATCAGAGGTCCTCCTGTATCCGTTCATGACTACCAAAGGTGGAGTTACCCAGCTTTCCTCAGTTCCTCTTCATCAGAGTAGTGAGGGAATTTATCCTGGAGATTCTTGTATTACTTGTTAATAATAGACTCTGTAGGATTAAAATAAAAGAAAACCAAAATAGAATATAATATATAAATAAAAATAAAAATAAATAAGACCAATAAGAATATATAATAAATCCATTTCTGGACACAGCTCCCAATTTACAACCCAGCTGCTTAACACAGTACAGCCCAGGAGCTGAAAAGCACAGAGCAACTTTAGTTACCTAAGCACAGCAGCAGCCCATTCTAGACCCATCAGGGAAGGGATGTGCAGGCACAGATCAGAGTTTGGCTAGACAACCCTTCCAATAACTCCATCCTATCAGCTGCTGGTCCTGGTGGCTGTCACCTCCTCCCTGAAGCCCCTCATCCATACAGGGTGCTGTGGCCCTCCTGGCAGCTCTGCTCACAGGCGGGATGTGCAGACACCACCAGAGTTCTCCCTGCTCCGCAACCACCAGTTGGTTTCCTCCTTTATGTCTGAATGACTTGGCTGCCCCATCCCTGCAGTGCTCAAGGCCAGGCTGGACAGGGCTTGGAGCAACCTGCTCTAGTGGAAGGTGTCCCTGCCCATTGCAGGGGGGTGGAATCGGATGAGCTTTAAGGTCACTTCCACCCTAAACCATTCCATGATTCTATGTAGAAATACCCATGGAAGAACTCTGCTCACTACCAAAACAGTCACTTAGACCCTGGGTGAAGTCAGGGAGCAACCAGCTACCAAAGGGGCAACCTGATGAAGAGAAGCATTAAAACCCCAGTCCCATCAAATGGTGGCAGAAGCACAGAGCACAATGCCAGCAAACCTGATTCTTCTCTTGGCTACCAAACACAGGTGTCCCAACCAACCCAACAACTGCAACCAGACTTTTAAAGAGGTTAATAGCAAAAGTTTATTTTCCTGTAATAAAGAGCAGGGTGCAACCATCCCGCTGTTAATGGAGTGACTTCATATTAATCTGTAAATTGCTCTGTTTTGTTTCAAATGGAAGACAACCTTACACAATGCTTTTCTTCAGCTCCTTTCACCTCAAAGTGCTTTACAAAGTGACACCGAGGCAGGGGGAATAGCCCTCAAACCAAAACATCTACACAAAAAGATCATCTCATTCCCAGTGCTGCAATGCAGCCATGTCTGCTGTGCAATGCCGTAGCAAATGGCACAGGACATGTAGAGATCAGGTCAGGGGGAGCAGATACAAGGAGAAAACTGCCAGGGATAGGATTTACCTGAGCTGGAATCTGCAGCTGGGGAAGGATTTTCTCCTCTGGAAAGGTGATGTTAAAGTGCTACAGGTCTGCAGACACCACCAAAAGATGCAGGCTTATCACTAGCTCAAGAACCAGCCAAACTTTTACCCAAAGACATATCCTTCAGGCTTTTTCTCCACATTATACTCCTTTGGTGAAGAGTAGCAGATGTATGCACTCGTCTAGCCAGGGTGAGCAGCATGAGTCAGGGCACTCAGCTATGGGAAGCAAAAGCAGAACTGAGATGTTCAGAATTCAGTCCTAGAGGTCAGCCCTTTCCAAGCTGAAGGAGATGGATTCAATACTCACATGTATTGTGCAGTGTGTCCTCTCAGCTCTGGGGATATCAAGTTTCACATGGCTACTAAACCTTGGCAAGCAATACCATGTGCCAGTATAGCTATAAGGAGCAACCCAGCACCATCCTGGGAGTGTGCTCAGTGACAGCAAAGCTTGTGCTCATGGGGGTCTTCTACAGGAAGGCTTTCTCAACTCTGCTGTGAATCTGTCCTTGTATTAGATTCCAAACCAGAACTTTCACCTTCCCTGTCTATTCCTCCCTCTACTGAACAGAAACACAGCAGCTCAGGTTTTTTTCCACTGACGATACAGAGTTCCTACTGAAGCATCTCTCAGGAGAGGATGAAACTGACTGGAGCTGAGGATGGTGATGTGGCTCTGGACACCAACTTGCTAAGATGAGAGTTACGATGATGGCAGAGGGACAGCCAAGACTGCAGAAATGCCACAGGAGATGAAAACCCCAGGGTACGTGGTGGCTCAGCAGATTCCAGAGTCGCTGACAAAAAAAGGCTAAATTGGCTACAAAACATTGTAATGGCTTTAACACATCCCTGTACAGCCAAGCCTGGGTCTGAGCTCAAGCTGTAGCGGGCCTCCAACACCTTTAATGACATCCCTCCCTGAACATTTTGAGGCACATGGGAACCACAGCCACATCCCTCATGTGCACACAAAGATGTCTCAGATTTCCTTACTGGGGATGGGAGCCCAGAAGCTGGGTTTCTCAGTGGACATGCATGTCTAGGTATAAAGCCATACAAGGAAGGCCTCAGGACTGTCCAGCCTGGGCATGCTACTTCTGGAGACATGAAGAACCCAGGCTGGGACCACAGGTTTTATCTAAACTCTGGGAACAACACTGCCCAAAGATCCCTCAGAGCAGAACACCTCAAAGACATCTTTGTGAGTGAGGTTTCTAAGAGCACCATGGGGGTACTTCTGCACCAAGGACTGGCACCAACACATCAAGGTCTGCATCTGCCTGTGGCAACTGCAGCAGATTTTCTAGAGCAGGAGAAAAGATCCTGCACTGACTGCAGCCAAGCTGAGAGTTATGGCTTTCCAAGCTCACTCTCTTCTGCTGAAGGCCTCAGGTGCACAGCTCTGGCCCCTGCTCTGCCTGTTCCCCCAGCCTGGATCACCCTGGGCCAAATCGCAAGCCAAAACCAGAAACAAATCCCTCTTTGTGACTCAGTTGGCAGAAAGCTTCTCTTGCAAGCCCCTTTAAAAGAAGCCAGGAAGTACTTGGAAACAGGCTGTTCATGGCTCTCCATAAGATTGTGTGCTGCTGGCATTTACAAGGCCATTAGGGGAGTAATTTGTCAGCAGGACCTAAGTGTATGGCTGGGCACAGCACCCTCCACCCCAAAGAATGAGTGGATCAGATGGACAGACAGCCAGCATCTGTCCTGAAAGATTTGCTTACAAAGAAGGTCCAGGACTCCTGCTTTGCCCAGGGCTGGCCTCGGGTTATGCCAAAGCAGCTTGCATATAAAAACAAAAGATTAAAACAAACATATGGATATACACTGCATATAGGAGACTCCATAGAGGACAGTCTATAGGCGGCCACCCCAGAGCAGCCAGGCCCAGCCCAGCTCTGAGAAGGTAGCATGGCAGCTGCAGTCTGCTCACAGTTCGAGATGTGGGACAGCTGAAGGTGGAACTTGTGCTTCTTGCTCCTTGATCAGCTTCATGCAGAGAAAGGCAAGGAGCAAGTAAGGCCCGTTGCAGGAGAGGCACTGCATTCATCTGTTTGGCAGACTACATTTGACAAGCTGTTCATACAGGACCAGTTTTCTTCCATGCTTAGGCCTCTGCTTACATCTCACTGGGATAAAACCCAAGTTTGGCCAGAGACATCTCCTTCCGGAGCCGCATGACCTCCCAGTACATCAGCTCCACTGCAAAGCAAAAAGAGTGTGAGGAAGAGAAGGAAAAATCAACACCAAACATCGGTAAGCAATGGACAGCTGGACATAACAGTTCATGTTATGCTATGCTCACAGTGAAGCCCAGTCAGGCTCATCCCAGACTGAGGGAAGCAAACACCCAGCAGCACAGGCCCATCAGATCACCCCTCACCAGCTGCACCCCAGGGCAAAGTTCCCAACAAGCTGATGAGCAAGGAATAGGTGAATCTATTCCCACTCATGCTTTTATCATTTAACCATTTCCAAAGACACAGGGAGTTCAGGGCAGCCCAAGTGGCCCGAGTTCCTGTCACACTGAATAGGACCTCTTAATAATAGGACCCAATTCTTCCCAATGGCCCACAGAAGGCATCCCCACCATAGCCAGCTACTATCCCTTCTTACCATCTTGCCTCACCAAGCCCTGCTGGATATAGCGAATGTATGTGAAGAAGTTGCACACCGCTGTGATCTGAGGAAGAGAGGGAGAGAAGGGAAAGAAGAGTCAGCTATAGTAGGAGAGCTCTTAAGTGTTGAGCACTTGAGAAATAGTACTATGTACCAGCAGATGGCAAGAGATAGGAAGAACGCTGGTTTTAAACAAACCAAAATCAAAACTCTGGGCATCTGCAATCCCATGCCAAGATATTACACTATCCATGAGACACACTGTGGAAGAACTCCAAACTACTACTGATGTAAAACATCAGTAATCCCTAAATGTGGCAGTAAAGTCCATGACCTTCCTTCAGAGAGGATTTATTTGACTGAAGAAAAATCTTTGGAGCTAAAGGTTTGTGCAGGGAGGTAAGGGCATTAGTGATACATTATGTGAGGCACTGGTACAGGCTGCCCAAGGAAACCGTGGATGTCCCATTCCTGCAGTGTTCAAGGCCAAGTTGGATGGGATTGGAGCACCCCACTCTCGTGGAAGGTGTTCCTGACCATGGCAGTGGGTTGGAACTGGACGAGCTTTAAGACCCTTTCCAATCCAAACCATTCCATGATTTTATGATTCTGTGACTGCTAGTTACCTTAACGCAAGTGACAAAAATCCTAAGTCCATGCACAAAACCCAACTTTTTGACTCAGAAATAATCACATGTTGCAGGATCTCTGATATGTAGCTGAGGAAAGAATAAACTTCCAAAATGCTCCACTGAATCAGAGCCTCAATGGTAATATTAACAAATCATCTTCTCCCTTCCCTCCAAAGAAAGGACAGCTTGTTCTCCCAACTATTTGAGTCACTGATCTGTACCGGAACAGCAACAAGGGCCAGCATTTAAAGAGCAGAAAATTACCGTGTTTTATAAAGGAGAATTAAAACATAATAATAAAGCAAAACAATCAAAGCCCTGTACTGAATCAAACCATGGAAAGTGAGCACACTGGAAACAGGTTGCCTGAAGGAACATAAGGCAGAGCACCGGAGTGTGAGGCAGGGCTGAAACCTGCACCCTTGTCAATGATCAAGATCCACATCGACTTCAGGAACAAACTCAATTCCCACAGGTCTCTGCCAGGTTGAGGGCTGACCCTCAAGAGCATCTTCATGTCAGTGCTTGGAACACTGTTGAAGGGCTGCGGCACACTGGGAATGTGAAGGACTTACCCTGGCCCTGCAGGATGGTGAAATGTAGTAGTAATTCCCAGAATCCCCCAGCATGATGCGGTGCTTGCAGGTCCTGGGAAGGCCACTCAGAGCACATTTCCTGCAAGCAAAGGAAGAAGCACTTCAGCCTTCACCAATCCACTGCACAGCAATTCAACAGCCTCAAGACTATCCACAAGAGGAAGAAGTGGGAGTTCAGAAGCCAGACCTGTGTCAGTCAACTGAAGAAATAAAATCCCATGGTTGATACAAGCTTTTGGCTCCTAGAAAGATTCCATAAATGGCAAGTTTAGGAGGCCTTAGGCTAAATATCTGGAACCATGAATCATTCCACACCCAAGCAAAGGCTGTATCCTTTCCCTGGCAGACAGCCCAAGACAAAACCACAGAAAACATTAATGAGATGAGGCTGCATCAGAGTATAACAAGTGTCTTCCAGTCTCTGCACATCTCTGTGTTCCAGGCAAGGCTTTTGCTGAAGGAGTTCCACTCAGGTGCTTCAGCTTTCCTGATGGGGCACAAACTTGCTGGCTGAGGACCAAACCTAGTCCCAAAACAGGTAAATCCAGCATTTGAGCAGGAATTGCTCATGCTGAGAGCTCAAAACAAGCCACACTACAGTCTTTATGCCAGACTCCTCTTACTAAGTTGGGCCTGATTTGAACCTGCTCTAGCTGAAGCCACATGAAGTGACTTTCTACTGACTTCATGGAGACTTTCACTTAGGCTTGTAGTTCCTACGAACAAGCAACCCCTTCTTGCACAGACACGGAAGAAGCTCGGCTTCACAACTGTAAGGAGATTTCAGACAGCGAAAAAAAGTCTTTTCAAGACAACTCAGCTCCCAGGGAGACCACCAAGAGATGTAACCACCAAGGTTGCAGCACACCTTTATTTTCTTGCCCTTTCATTCCCTTACTTGCAAGTCAAATAGATCCCAGCACCAGCCAGTTGCCCTTCCTTTATTACCACTTAAAGCAGTAAAGCAGAACACTCTGCTGCACAGTCATCACCATATTCCTCAGAGACTCAGTGGCCCTACCAGGAGAAGTGAGCAATCACTCTCCTGCTGCAAAAAAATTGCACTGTGGGTCATGGAAGAGAAAAAAGCACAGGGACAAATGTTTCAGAGAGCTTCGGAGCACATTTCTGTGGTTGCTTTCCACTGCTAGTGAGGCCAATATTGAGCTAAGAGTGGAAGCATGGGCTGTAAGCCACCCTCACAGTAAAGAACTTCCTTATATCCAACATGAACTTCCCGTTTCACTTTGAACCCGTTACCCCTTGTCCTACCACTACAGTCCCTGATGACGAGTCCCTCTCCAGCATCCTTGTAGCCCCCTTCAGACACTGGAACCTGTTCTGAGGTCTCCATGCAGCTTCTCTTCTCCAGGCTGAACAGCCCCAACTGTCTCAGGCTGTTTTCATATGGGAGGTGCTCCAGCCCCCTGGACATGGTCCACAGCATGTCCAAAGTTGTCATAAAAATTGGTGTTTTGCGACTGGGAAACAAAGGGGAACAAATTCCTTTTGGGCATTTATTGCCAATAGCAAGATTCCTTACTGGCCTGTGTCTGGGTGGAAATTAAACAGGGTTAAAAAGTTAGCTTAGTTCAGCTCCAGCCTCAAAGCTTCTAAATGGCACTAAATTAGTAACTTGTTAATGGATTAGAGATCTTTGATCACTCACTGAAAAATAAATACTTCACTTACGTTACAATTTGTGACCGGAACCCACTGTGAAGACATAAGAAAAGAAATCAAAGGAAACCAATAAGGATAAACACAGGATGGGTTGTTCTTGGAACAGGCCTGACACATACTCACGGAACAGTTTGCCTAGAGATGACAGAAAATGCAGAGGAGAGTAGTAGGAAACCTGCATGCAGCATTTACTGTTACAGAAAACACCTTAGCTTAGAACATGCTTGATGGTAAGGGAGGGAAGAACAAAGAGAGAGCCCTGACTGAACTTAAATGCAGTAGCTGAATAAAATCCCCTGTCTTCAACGGAATACCATGTCATGTCTGCTAAAGCTCCTCCTCTTTGAGTAAATCTCAAGTTGTCTGTCGTATCAGATACAGTCACACAAGCTCTGAAGCAGCCATAGCTCCAGTTCTGATGGTAAAGTGGGAAAGATGATATGCAGCAAGAGGAGGTATCTTCTGACCTAGATTCAAACCCACCTGGTGCACCAGCAAGGTCAGGAGCACAAGGTGAGTTCAAACCTCACAAGATGCAAGAACATGAGATAATCATAGAATCATAGACTGGTTTGTGTTGGAAAGAACCTTAAGCTCATCCAGTTCCAACCCCCTGCCATGGGCAGGGACATGTTCCACTACAGCAGGTTGCTCCAAGCTCCGTCCAACCTGGCCTTGAACACTGCCAGGAATGGGGCAGCCACAGCTTCCCTGGGCACCCTTTGCCAGTGCCTCAGCACTCTGTGGCTCTGACTTAATTCTTTCACCCTAAGTTATGCACAAACACACCTTCAAGAGAACATTAAACAAATTGCTACCTTAAGGGGAAAAAATCCAAACCTCTCCCAAGCGAAGGGCATTAACATATCACTAGGTTATCTCCCAAAACAGTCATCTACAGTACATCAACTGAGCTAATTCCCATTCTCATGGAGCTGAACTACCACTGGTCATAGGCTAGAACACTCAGCTGAGCCCTTTTAACTGTTCACCTCAGCTGACTGACCAAGGCCTGGCCAAACTCCACTAGATGGTACAAAGAGACGAGTAGCAGAGAGGACAAGAGAGCATAAACATAGTTCCTTACTTTGGGCCACTACACTCTTCTGCTGACACCTTCACCACAGGCAGTGTCTGAGAAGCAACTGGCTCAATGGTGAGTGTATTCTGCTCCACAGCCACTCGCACCAGTTCCGACAGCTGTAGCAAAGAGAAAGCAGATAGGAATGTGCAAAGGTCACCTCCATAAAGGTGTAACTTTGATGCTGTGCAGTTTTTGTCCTGCTTTTCCAACACTCACCTCATGCTTAGTGAAGTCCAGACAAGGTCCTACATCTTCCCGATAAATTCTGTCCAGGAAGGAGCAGGATTTATCCAAGGTTGGAGATTCCTTCCAGGCCTGGAACTCAGCAAATAAAATGGAGTCGACCTGCAGCAAGTGTCCAAGAGGAGTGGGAAGAGGGCAAGTGAGTGGAGAGATATAGTATCAAAAGGTTTCTTTTACTATGCAGGTAACCTAACTACAAAGCATCTGCTTTGGCAGCTAGAAAGGCTCAGACACCACAGAAGTGTCTGAGGAGAAGATGGTTTGCTCCAATCATCTTTCATCTCCCTCCCATAAGGAGTTCTGTGCCAGACTGACACAGCCATAGTGGGCTTATTCTGCCAGGAACCTGCAGGCACCTCTCTATCCCATCTTTCTCCAGGGTGAGGCAGCACCTCTGCTACAAGAAAGGCACAACACAACCACCAAACAGACCAAGTGCTCACTCAGCCCATGGCAGGAATGATGAGAGCAGCTGAATGACAAAGCACGGTGGCACCCAGGACTCAGGAGGCAGAACCCTTCTGTAAAGGAAAGACTGCTACAGAAAAAGATGAATTGGAAAAAGCTATGAATAAACAGCCATCAGCAGGACTACAGTCAGTGAGCCCAAGAATGAGCTCACAGGCTATGCCAGCCCTTTAAAGACCACTTCAAGCCCAGAACTCTGGTGTTTGTGGACTTGCAGAAGTAATGGGAACACTGGGAAGCCATACAGGCTTGCAGAGGCAAGCTGAGTGTAGGAAAAGAGCTCTCTCAAAGGGAACTCAAAGAACAGGAACAGCTTTCCGTATTCTAATATCTGCTCATTGCCTTGGGCTTGCAAGCATTATCACTACTCAGCGACATGGGACTCAGGACAGAGCTTGCTCCCATCCCCTGTGAAAGTTGTTTCCTCCATGTCTGTCTGGATGGAGAGAGTCTCTGCGACCTGGCATTTAAATACCGGATGGATCAGCAGCCAAACCACCCACCTGACTGACAGGGCTTCTCCTTAAAAGGCCAGCAAATCCTGTTAAAGCTGGTGAAAGGAAAAACAAACTAAAGAAACCCTGCTGAGCAATACAAAGAACATGAGTGAAGAAAGCTGAAAATAGGTCTGGGTTCTAGCACATTCATTCTATGCTATGGACACTGCTCACCTGGCACCAGGAGACAGCTTCAGAGCCACAAGATGGAAAAACAAATGGAGAAAAACAAAAAGAAAACAAAATATGGAGGTTAGCATAAAAGGAAGCTGGAACTGAAAGGCTGGAAGTGTGAGGGGTAGATGTATCCCACCCATCGCCACTGCTGACCAGAAAGGTTACCTGCTGCAAGGACGAGGAAGCATCTGCCCCCAAGGCCTGCCAGCTTGGTTCATAGGTGATGTGGATTGCCTTCCCAGGGATGAAACAGAGGAGCAGAGAGAGAAGAGCAGGTAACCCAGACTTCGAGGGCAGAGGAAGAGACAGACAGTGAAGGGAAAGGTTTAGAGAGACAGGCAAGAAAGTGAAGTAACATACATGAGACAAACCAGAAGATACAAAAAAAGGCTCAAGTTCTCCCAGGGAACTAAGCACAATGCTTAAGAAATCACAGGGTCACAAGCCTCACCTTTTGTCTTCAGCTTGAGGTGCAAAACTGGAACAAATTCTGACATTTTTAGGCTCAGTTTAAGATATGGCATTGTGCTTTCCACAGAGCACCAACTCTCTGAATGCCAGGTTCCCTTTTATCACCCTCACATAGGCCATTAAGGAGTTTGAGAGACAGAAATTAACAAGTTAACAAAAAAACACATGCACCCCATCCTGGACACATAAAATTAGTAGTCACTTTGGAATTGGCATTTTAAAGCTCAGGTTATCTGCACCATGTGGAAGTTGCCCACACAAATGACAGGCCCAAATCTGTTCTGAATGGAGGAATGGGTAGCACTGGGAGAGCTCACAGGTCCTTAAAAATATTAAAACCTTTTTCATCCCATCCCTCAAAGTAGCTTCTAACTGACTGCATTTGACTGCAGCTTCCAGCATACCTGGACTGTTCCACATCTGACCACTAGAAACCAAGCCTTCACAGTTATCAAACTCATTTTCCTTTGGCTCTCTTTCTCATATAACCTTTGTTCCTCTCTGCCTGTGAATAGTTAAAGGATCTTCATCTCTCATGGCTTTTGCTGTCTCAGGGCAATGGCTATAGCCAATGTTGCCTGAAGCATTTCAGCAAAACTCTACCAAGAGCACCGTGCAGAAGCTGACAAGGCACATTCACTGAATCCACTGCCGAAAGCAGACATTAACCAGTGTTGCCAGCACAGTCTTGTTTGGTGAGAGCATTCATTTCACAAGTGGCCGCTCTGCATATGTTCACACGCAAACTAAATGACTGGGTGCCTTTGTGTTCCCTCAACAATTCTTCAGGCTGCAGCACCCAAAAAGTCACTAGGGAGACATACTCCCCCACCACCTTCTCATTCATTTTCTTTCTTGCTCCCCAGGACAGCTGTGAATACATCTGGCTAATGGAAAGTACCCAGATGGAAAGGTCCTGCTAGCAGGAAGAAGCATTACTTACACCCACGGTCACAGCAGGTGGGGGACTATCAAAGGATCACCAAAGGGAATTAAACAGGGTTTGTTTGAAAGATATTCACAAATGCTCTGTATACTTTCCTGCACAGTTCCTTCCAGTGAGGAAGGAACTAAATATAATTCCACCATGCTCTGCAAAGAAGAGTAAGAACAGTGAAATGCCCAAGAAAAGAGCAAGTGACAGAGACTAGAAGTTGATGGAGGTGTCCTGGTGTCCAAGCCAAAACAGGCAGACAGAAGAAACAACAGCAAATCACACCAGAACAGGCAGTGGACTCAACTGCCAAGGTGCAGCAAGCAACTGTCTTCTGCCCAGCAACTCCTGAATCTGTCCATGCCCTCCAGGGATCTCCTGGCTGCTTCCTCCAGCAGTTGTCCTGACGCAGCCTTCAACATGCTTCTCAGAAGAGGAAATCTCCACAAATGGAAACCCTCCAGAGCCTGCCTCAGCACAAATTTAGGGAACAAGCCACATTACTGCACAAACAGCTTTCCCCAACACTGAAACCACAGAGCTCTCCAGGAAGCCCAAAGCAAAAGTCACACAGCTCCCTGTGCACAGTGACAACAGTGGCTCCAAGGCCAGTGCAGTGAATGGCCCTCACCCACCTCTTTGCATTCACGGCTGACAGGCTCTGGAGTCACATTCTGGCTGGCAGCTGAGACCATTGCACTGCTGGTGCTTTTGTTTCGCCCATGGCCCTTTCTGAAGCCAGCTTTAGAAGGGCTCTGCAGCTGAGGGTGCAGCTCCCGATTTGGAGAAGAAGGTGTTGATGTGATGACCAATGTCTTCAGAGCTGTTACCTCGGCCTGCAGCATGTCAATCTGAGGAAACAAGGCGAGAGAGCACCTTCAGCACCTCCTGAGCTTGAGCTTGCTGCACCCCACTAAACACTAAAGCTACAGGGATCCAGCTAAAATCCCCTGATCCATCTCTCAAAGGGGACCTGGATCAGCAGCAGGCTGCAAAGATGCATTTACCCCCCTCAATCAGCATCTGCTGGAGAGGGAACAGAGCAAATGAAGCATCTCAGAGAGACTTTAATCTCCTCCAGCCAAAAAGCATCATGGCCAGGCTGGGCAGGGATGGCGCCAACCTAGCACAGAGATCAAGACCTAGAGAGTGGAATTCTTACCTTCCCCCGTGCCTCCCTCAGCTGTTTCTCTGATGCCGCCTGTTTAGTGTTTGCTTCTCTCACCATCTTGTGTGCTTCCTGGACCAAAGAGAATTTGAGTCTGCTTGTTGCAACCCCAACTCAAAGCCAGGCCAAAGCTCTGCTGTATCACATGCTCAGGGCAAGCAAGCAGGGGAACAGACATCACTGCCACATCCAAGGGTTTTACTCTGCTATCTGTGAACAGCCTTCTCCCAGGATTTCCCAGAGAAAGCTCTGAGTGCCAGAGTCTGGAGTGCATAGTTGACTTAACTACAGAGTTTAGCTGGCCAAATCCAAGGTCATCTCTTTCACCGATATGAGGTGCTATGAAGAAAGGGAGAAGCAAGTGCCTGCCCCTCCTTGCCCTTGGGAACAACTTTAAAGCTCAGGCTTCAAGATTAGCACCCACCTATGCTACATCACTGCTGTGGAGCAGTTGTGTCTGCACCCAGTCCAATACCTCTGCAACTCTGAACTTGACTCAGCTTGGCTTCTTGACTCAACCTCAGACCTATGCTGTCACTGCAGTCACAGGAGACTTGCTGGTTGATCACTGGACTGTTTTATGACCTTGGTTTCTGTCTGTGGCACTAATCCTGATCCAGACTTGCGGCTCCACATCTTGGCTCCTCACTGGTGAGGTCACTGCTCTTGCTTGTTACTGCACTTTGCTCCCACTTCCCTTGCAGACCAGCCAGCTCCTCACTGCTCTGTGCATGGCTGCAACACAGCAGGAGCTGTAGCTCAGGTGGAGACCAAATGGCAGAGGCAGCTTAAAAGCATCTCTCACAGGATGAGGGGAGTGGTCTGAAGCCCAGCTGGAGCCTCCCTGCTGTCCAAGGCCACCAAAGGAAGTGAACAGCCCTCAGCTACATTACCTCTATGTTCACCCTGAGCTCAGGAAACCAAGCTTCCAGGAAGGGGATGCTCTCCTGGCCCTCACACTCAGCACCAGCCTATGTTTCAAAGGTACAGATGTGCTCTGGCTTTTTCCTTGCTGCTCAGTCAAATCCAGACATTAGAGCTGATGGTAAATGGGATCTTGTCAGGCAAGAGCTTGGTAAGAATCATGTTACGAGAAATACCCAACCAACAGGCCTTCTGAACAATCACTGGAGCAGAGTACATGAGGACATCCAGCTTGTTCCCACCCCAAGCAAGGGCTGACACGAGCCAGGGAATCATCTCTATTACACAGCAACTGCTGTCCAGACTCATGAGCACACATAGGAGAGGGGCAGAGAGCTATGCTTAGCTCCAGCTATAACCATCCCCACATCTGTTTTTGCTACCAAATGGAGACCTATAACTAATGTGCTCTTTATGCCACCCCACAGCTGCTAGAAGGGAAAAGAAATGCATGTAAATACTCCCTAGGAGAAGTTACAAGCCCCTGCTCTGAGGCTGTGCCTGCAGCACTGCCCAGCACCACTTCTCCAAGTGGGAAAAGAAAAACAGGAGGAGGAAGCTGTGGGAGGAGATGGCTGGAAGTTCAGGGAAAGCCTGTCTTAAAGGAGTTAGATATAAGCTTAGTTTAAGAAATTATGGGAAAAGGAAGAGGGTGGGACCTCAAATAGGCTAGCTGTTAACTCCTCTAGTTCCTGCTCCAGTTGTTCTCTGACTTTTGATAATTTCTCACATTCCTTGTCCTTCAGCTTCAGCTCCTGTTGAGGAAATGGAGAGAGACACATGAGCTCATAGCAAGCCCCAGTAGTGCTGTGTCTGCCTGCCCCCATTTGTCAATCATAACCTTTCCTTCCACCACAGCATGGATGCCTGGTCTAAGACTCATGTGTACCCCACTCCATGTCTCCCCCCAAGTTCTAGCAGGCTTTTCAGGCTGGAATTGCTTATCTGCCATTAGCAGGGAGGCTCCATAGTAAGCACTCCCTGCCTCCAACTTCCTTCTGCAGCAGATTTCCAGGAGGAAATATGGATGTTGGCACAGAGGCTTTGGGTCATGCAACTCATGACCTTGCTCCAAAGCACTTTATGGCCACCTCAGCATAATCTCTGTCCTTTTCTGCCTGATCCAGACAGTGGCACAGCCACATTCGGACCCTGTTCCCTTCAGCATCACCTCTAGGAACATCCCCACTGCTCAAATCTATGCCACCATCCTCAGTATTCTCACTAATTCTAGGCCTTACCTTTTGTGCTTTGTGCAGCTCTTCCTTCAGGAATTCAGACCCTTTTTCACGGATTTCCACTGAAGAGCTACGTAGACGTGACATGTTGAGCTGCTCAGTGGACTGGGTCCCATCCACACCTACAGCATCCTGGCATCCAGTCTCTGGCTCCTCCTTGTTCCCTTTGGATGGCATTAGTGGCTTCCAGTGTCCAATAGCTGGTTGCTTCTGGCTGTCTTCCTCAAAATTGGCCTGGCTGTGGGTTACCAACACAGTGAAACTTTATATGGGGTTGATTTATAGCCTTCCTCTAACACTCAACACCAGTCTTCACCTCCAGCCTCTCACAGGCACTCAGGTGAGGCAGCGAAGGTGATGGTGGATGAAGAAGGCAGCAGCAGCTGCACCACTTCTTTAGCCTTTTGGCATGGATTGCTTCAAGCCTGGCAACAGAAGAAATGATCTAAAATAAAGACTTTGGGGGCAACCTCCACTCCTATCCTGGGATCTTTAAGAATCGCACCAAGTCTAGTTTGAGACGCCAGCCTGCATTCCTTTTAAGAGGGCTGGTTTCTCAATAGTGAGTACTCCCTCACAAGTAATACTGGACGCACAAAACTTAGCAGGCAACACAATGCTATTAGTAAGTCCTGGCATAATCCTCCTCAACCAGCATGTCTCAGATACTATTAACTCAGGATAAAGCAGGAGAAGTAAAGACAATTACTCTAGGAATCCCATTCTCACCTGCTTTGGAGAGCAACCCTCTGCAGCTGGCTTGTTTTGAATGCAACTATACGCTCAGTAGACCTAAGTTCAGAGACACTCTGAAGCAGAGTAGTAAAAAAAAGTGAGTACAACTCTCCCATTCCCTATCAATGTACAGATCTTAATCCCCCCACTACAAACCCACCTTCTTCTCCCTCCTGCTCCTGTTTTGCAGAAATCTACTTTTAACCATTGGTTTCCCACCAGAGTCCTCCACAGAGCTCTTTAAACAAGTGTTATTTCCACTGAGCTGAGATGAAGCCCTGTTCTTTTAGTTTCAGTGACTGCCAAGTAGATATGAAATAGAAAGAAGAAAACAGAAAAGTCACTCAGGACACCTTTTTCCCTAGTGCTCAGTAGGACTTTGCCAACTGTCAGACTAACACAGACCCTGGAAGAAGCTTGATGAATTTAGTATGCTTTGTAGTTGATGGGGTCTTATGGGAGGAAAATATAGGCTTTATTTCCTGCATGACACGGCAGTGCAATCTTAGTGTTGTGTTGAGCGTGTACATCACCCCTTCTTCATGCAATGAAATGTCCTCATGCAGCCACCTGTCATTTGAAGTCAGAGATCAAGTCTTGCACACATGGAAGTTTTCTATCATGCCCAGCCACTCAGCTTGACCCACACACTGCAGTACAGATTAACCTGCTGCTGGTTATCTCTGGGTCACAAGCCTTAGCTGAGCTGTGGTGCTATCCTCTTTCATGTACAGCACCAACCCCTCCTCCTGCACACTCCTTCCGGATACTGCTTCTTCTCCACTACCTTCTCCTGCAGAGAAGCTATCACCTTCTTTTGGTTTGGTTCACTTCCCCCTCTTCCCAATCTGTTTTCCTCTCCTAAACCTGCCCTCCGTCTTGTATTCCAGCCAGGCCTCCCTCCTCCCTTTGACTCCAGCCCCACACTGGGCTTATCTGCTTGGCCATGGGCAGCACAGAAGAGCCTTGTTTTCCCTTATTTCCCTTTCTACCCCCCAAAGCTGTCCATGAGCAAGCTGTTCCCAGTCATCTTCCAAAGAGGGAAAGAAAAAGCAGCTTGCAGCTAATTCAACTCAGGTACCACAGGAAAGCACGTGGAAAAACATGCATGGAACACTATTTGAACTCTTGGAAGACAAAGAGCACAAGACCCTTGCTGCAGTGTGATGCAACTGATGCACCAGAAGGATGGTCATACAGCATATGGAAAGGACAGAACATAGGAAAGGACAGAAACTAACTAATGTCCCATTGACCTTACCTGCTTTCACTGAACGTTCACTGTGAAGATCTGGAAAAGGAGGCTCATTTGGGTGATACTACTAACTTTGGAAGTATGGAAGATAACATGAAAGGGTGTGTTGGGGAAAAGGCAAGAAAATAAAATTGGTTTTGGCCAGAGGAAAAAGGACAGACAGCTCCTCCAAGCAAAGTTCACCTTGAGCTATTCAGCATGCTGGCACTGCTTGATAAAAAGCGATAGGCACAAACATGGAGGGTTAAGGCTGACTGAGCAAGCATGACCAACAGGAACTCCCAAACTGGGCAGGCATCTACAGTTTGAGGTGCAAGAGAGCACAGAAGTGAGAACTACATGATGTCCAAGACATGCAGTACCTGCTCCATCCAGACAGGCTGTTCTGTTGGCACATCTGGTTAATCAGAGGAAAAGTAGAACTCCACAGAAGAAATGAAATGGCTTAGAAAGGTCAAGATTAGTTAACACGCACCACTTACCTAAACAGTGACATCGCTAGCAGGATGAGGAGGTCTCCAAAGGCTCCAAACACTAGGAAACGGGAGTAAGTAAAAGAATGACCCAAAGGAAGGAATGAAACACACTACAGGAACGTGGAGATTTAATGAGACCAATTCATGAAGTGGATCTGCCACGGGCCATGGGAAGCATGGCAAACAGAGAGGTCTATTCAACACTTAAACCATCTCTCAGGTGGCATAGTGGAAGCTCGCTCTGCTGTGGACTTTTGAGATTATACAGAGTAAGCTGCAGAGAACACATCCCTCCAGGTACTCCTGCATTAGAAAGGAAATACACCAGAAGCGACCCAGCCAGCCCTAGCACCTCCAGCTTCTGTGATCAGAAGGAAGCAACAATCAGAGCACGGAGGAAAAGCCAGATTCAAAACCAAGCAGCAAGGAAAAGGGACATTTTAACACTCCACTAAACTACTAAGACAGCCAAACTAACTCATACATAACAGGAAGAAAAACCCCCTCGTTGTTTCATTATGACTCTCAAGTTCTCGGATGAAAATTGTTTGTCTTGGGAGACAGGTATTCCAGTGTATTTCCATGCACTGTGGAAGAAAACTGGACCAGTCCCACCCACACTCTGTAATGACAAGGGACCTAAAAACCTATCCTGAAAAATCATTTCTATGACGGAATAGTGCATTCTCTGCCAACAGAATCCCCACAAGGGCCTTGGCTACGCTGGCTCCTGCCCAGCAAAGCCCCATCTCCAGTATCCAGCTGGGGCTTTGAATTACAAAGCTCCAGAGACCAAAAGACCACCGTGTACAGGCACATTCTGGCTACTGCTGCTGTCGGCTGTCTTTCATGGAAAAATGTTTTATATCCTAAATGTCCTACACTGACACAAGAAATGCAAACTTGTACAAAAAACAAACCCTAAAACAACCCCAACAACCTTCTAAAACTCATTTCTGTAGAAAAGGCAAAAAAATGTGCAGCATCTGCACTTTTTCCAGCGGGCCCCACATGTTCCTGCAGTGCTGATCCAACGGGGTTATTTCCCTTACAAACAGCCCCGTAAGTCTCCAGGTTAAACTCTTGCCCTCCAGCTTGCAAAGAGGACTTGAGTGCTCCATCCAGGGGGGACAGACCCCTGATTGCTGCCACCCTGCACCAGCATCTCTCACCACCCCACTAAGAGCTCGGTAAAGGGCCTCTCAGGAGCTTTAGGCAGAGCATATGGTAGCATTTTATTTTAGCTTAACACTTAACTTCTATTTCTTGTATCTGCCTCAGCAATCACCCACTGTGTTCTTACACCTGAGGGCTGCTGAGGGACACGACATGTCCTTATTCTGTCACAGAATTCCAGACTGGTGATTGTGAAAAGGAACCTTAAAGCTCATCCAGTTCCAACCCCCTGCCATAGGCAGGGACACCTTCCACTAGAGCAGGCTGCTCCGTCCAGCCTGGCCTTGAACGCTGCTAGGAATGGGGCAGCCCGTCTCCCTTCTTGATTTCCACACAACCACAGGCACAACCATAGCTGCAGAGCACCGAGACCGGAGAAGCCGTCGGGTTTAGGGCTGTGCAAGGGCATGAAGCGCTAACAACCACCACAGCAAACCCAATGGAAGCCCGAGGGGACCCTCACACACGCCAGTGTCAACACCCGCGTGCCCAGCACGGCCCCGCGGAGCCACCGGCGCCCCCCCCTTACCCCGCTCGGGGGGCGGCAGGCCCGAGTACCACACACCGCAGGCCCGCAGCGCCCAACCGCTCCCCCCTCAGGCTCCACCGCTAACGGCCGCCCCTCCGCTGGCAGCCCGGCTCCCGGACCTACCCCCGACGCATGCTGGGTCCCGCCGCCGCTCAGTGTGGAGGAGGAGCTGCTGCCGCTGCCGCTGCCGCTGCTGCTGCTGCCGTTACCGCTGCCGCCGTCCCCCCCATGCCCGGAGCCGGCCCCGGCGCTCAGGCACCGCCTGAAGGACGCGCTCCCGGGAGGGGGGGGAGCCGTGATCGAGGTGCGCCTGCGCAGTGCTGCCCCGCGGGCCCGGGAGGGAGGAGCGGGGGGAGGCCGGGGTACGTGGAGTCGTGGTTGGAAAAGAGCCGAAAGCTCCTCCAGCTCCAACCCCTGCCACGGGCAGGGACCCCTTCCACTGGAGCAGCTTGCTCCAAGGCCCTGTGTCCAACCTGGCCTTGAACACTGCCAGGGATGGGGCAGCCACAGCTTCTCTGGGCACCCTGTGCCAGAGCCCCAGCACCCTCACAGGGGGGAGCTTCTGCCTTATCTCCAACCGAAATCTCCCCTGTTTCAGTTTTAACCCATTAATCCTTGTGCTGTCACTATAGAGAGGCACCCTCGCTGCGATGCTGAAGCAGCTGTATGCAAGTGGATGGAGGTGTGTGCTCAGCCAGCCGTTCACACAGAGCCAGCTCCCATAAACACACCACCCCTCCCCAGCACAGAGCGTACCCTCTTGCTCCTGCTGAAACAGCGCACTGGGCTCAGTGGGTGGCTGGACGGGGGTGAGAAAGCATAATGAAAGGCTGTTGGGTCAAGATAAGGGCAATGAGAATGCTCAGCGGTTACTGTCATGGGCAAT